GTCCTTTGCCTTTATTTACCTTCATCTACCCTAATCTACCTTAATTGTCTTCATATCACTTCATCTACCATGTTACTATCTCATTTACCTTTATATCCTTCGTTGTTCTTCCTTGTCCTTCATCTATCTTCTTTTGGCCTCATCTACCTTCATCAACCTAAAATTACAATCATTGATCTTCATCTATCTGCCTCTCCTTTCATCTACTTTTATCTACCGTGGTCTACTTTCATCTGCCATTCTTTACTTTCAGACCTTCATTTGCCTTTGTATGTCTGTCTTTATATACCCTGATCTATCTTCCTTCTCCTTTTATTTCCCTCATTGTTCTTCAGCTACTTTCATTTATCCTCATCCTCCTTCAGCTTATATATTTTATCTTCATCTACCTACATCCATTTTCATCTGCCATCATTCACCTTCAGATAACTTCATCTTCCTTCAGCTACCTTCGTATCTCTTATCTACCATTTTATACCTTCATTCACCTTCATCTATCTTCATTTACCTTTATCTACCTTCACTTATCTTCATTTTCATTTTCCTTCTTTTACCATCATTTATCTTCATCTACCTTTATTTACCTTCTTCTAAGTTTATCTAACCTCGAATGAATTAATCTTCAACTCCCTTCACTTACTTTCATCTCCTAAATATACCATCATTACCTTCATCGGCCCTATTCTACCTTCAAGCACCTTCATCTAATTTCATTTTTCTGAATGTAAAAGACTTTGCGTTTATTTATCTTTATCTACCATCATCTACCCTTATCTACCCTAATTTCCGTTCACTTACCTTATTCTCCCCTCATCTACCGTCATTCACCTTCAACCATCTTCATCTCCCTTTTTCTATCATCTTTAACCTTCATCTTCTATCATCCATGAAAAACTTTTCAAGAAAGTTCAGTTTTTGACAGTTATCCTTTAAAACGCCAAAAATCACCTTTCTGACCATCTAAATTTCAACAATTTCTGAGGAGCATGCTATCTATTTACCCCTCCAAGGACTTTATTTATTCAGCGAATATTAATCCGACCCCCCTTACTAATCCTCGATCGGCGCTAAGCAGTGAACTCACATCATGTAATAAGATTTCTATCCTTCAGGTTCTGCTCTACTTTTTCTGGCACTCTCTGTGACTTATCAAATTCTACCATCAACGCGGGCATTCCCAATAGATTGCCAAAAGAACACTGCAGTCTGTTTAGAAAAAATAACGAAGGACGTCACTCAAGTTCAGGAGAACAAAACATTGGCGAAATGTAAGCACGATTCCTCTTCGTTCATGTGTGTTACTACCTTTATTAAAATCTATTAATTTATGTTCTTATTATTATTTTTCAAGAGAATACAAACTGTTATTCCCTTGTATTTTATCAACAGCTAAGAACTGTGTTGAGCTCTACTATTCCGGTCAAAGGATCAGCGGTGTTTACACAATCGACCCAGATGGCTCAGGTGCCTTTAATGTCTATTGTGACCAAACTACTTCCGGTGGGGGATGGACAGTCTTTCAGAAGAGAATGGATGGCTCCGTTGATTTTAACCGCACCTGGAATAACTACAAATATGGCTTCGGTAACTTGCTCGGTGAATTTTGGCTCGGACTGGACAAGATAAACCGTCTGACACAAAACAAAACAAAGAACATGCTTCGAATAGATCTGGGGGTAACTACGCGCCAAACTGTTCACGCTGAGTATGAATGGTTTGGGATTGGGAATGCCACGGCTGACTACCGCCTGTACATTGGCAATATGACAAGTCAGTAAGCCGTCTTTTTAAACATTCATCGTTCGATTTTATGTGTTACTTCCCTATCGACGTCTACCGCCCCATTCACACCAAAGCTTAAGAGCTGTTTTGCTAAAACCATTTAAAATGTGTTTCTTCAGAGAGGCTGCTTAAACTGATGTATGTCCATTTTAAACTGAGCAAATTTAGCAAATTAACAAGTTAGTGACAACTTGAATCCTATGAAAAACTGTTTTTTAATTCAATCCCTTCTCCCAACTCCACGTAACCTGCAAAGAATGGTTCGTTCTAGTATATGCCCGTTTGACTGTGGTTTGCTGTTAATTCTGCCCATAGCAAGTTGAGTCCGCGCTCCTCCTTGGATAGTTTTCTTAAGCTGCTTGAGATAGAAAATTCATTGACCTTGGCTTTAGCAAAATCATAAAATTTGAGTATTTATCATTTTGCCAGGTGTTTTTGTATTTGGATATCTGCCCTACTTCGTCGATTCGTAGCTATCGAGTCTGAGGTGTTATCTTGATCCTAATATTATGGAATTTTGGTATTTATTATTATTATTATTATTATTTTTTAAGCAGATTCAACTGTTTCCTCTGACTCCCTCAATCCTCACAAAGATCTCAGTTTTGGTACTTGGGATAGAGATCCTGCCCATTGTGCTCAAAAAAGAGGCGGAGGCTGGTGGTATGGCAAGAGTAGTGCTTGTGCTGTTTGGTCGAATCTCAACGGAATTTATCCGCATTGTCCAAAGGAAACCTGGGCCGATATCCATTGGGGAAAATTAGATCCAAACAGTCCCGCGGGTAGCGCCCCCATATCAACTGAAATGAAAATTAGACCAGCGGATCTTTTTTAAAATTTTCTGACGGTAAAGTGTTCATGTATATAGTGATTTCTGCGTCCTCTGATTGGTCGACTTCGCTTTTATTACAATTGTGATTGGCAGATTAGTGATCGAGTGGCCGTCCTTGAATTTGAATGAATTCCGCCAAGGGAACATCATCGTTAACTGCTTCCCTCGCGATCAGGCATCAAGTGCATTTATTTGCATGCATGGTGATTTTGATTCTTTTTTACGAACTATTCATTGTTGATTTGAAAACGCTGCAATTAAAAATTAGTCCGCTTGCTTTCGTTTGTTTTTACTTATTTCTATAGAGTTTACGTTTTCTGATGATTTTTTAAGCTTCACTATCTTAGAGCTATCAATCAAGCGATTTAAGATTATAACAAAATATGTAACTAAGGATATGTGAGTTTTACCGTGTGAAGAAATAAAGACTGTGGTACATTATTTATGCATTTACGTCAATAGCTATGCGATAGCGTTGTCATGATAACCCAATAGGCTTCTAACCTACTATACTCGAGGATTTTCAAGCCCTCAATGATTATTCATTTTCGTATTTGCCAGTGAAGTTTCTTACACACGATTGACTGTAAAGACTCTAAAGGTATGGGGTGTAAGTTGGGAACCTAATTTTATCACAAATTGGTAAACAACTTCACAAGTACTTTATTTTGCATATCTTGATAATACAAAAAAACTAACCAAAACAAACTAGGATAGATACGAACGGAAAACGCTATTTGTAATCTCTTATATGTATGATTTCGGTCACGGTATGGCAAGGAAATGAGCGTACTTTGACCCTTAATTG